AAGAGGCTACTGACATACTGGGAAACATCCCGAAAAGACAAATATAGCTGTTGCCATTATTCAAAAGCTAGCTTCTAAGAATGTACAGACAAATTTGTTCCCACTGGAGGACAAGCTCAAGAGAGTGTGTGATATGACTTTAAATTGCTGACACTAACAGCTAATGTGAATTTAACCAGTCTGAACCGCAATGCCAAAAGCAAAAGACTAAAGCTGAATAGTGGCAAGCTGCAAGCAAGCAGTGTATTGTGGCGGGTAAAAAAAAACTAAAAATTAAATAGCAGTGCAATGCTGGACACAGTATATCACCTGTGAAATATGAAGATCAGATTGAACGATGTAAAAATGATACATGCAGTTTGTGTTAATCTGCCGTCAGGATCAGAAGGTCAAGACACAGAGAGACGAGATTGTCACCATTTTGTCTTGTTCTAAGTTGATTCTTGTAGTCCTCCGCCTTCCATATACGGTTCATAAAACAGTGCTAGACTTGTTTGAATTTTACATGATTTGTTGGAAGCAATGGGCTCAATGGCCCATGAGGTTTCCTGCCAGCTTTAGGATAGACCTACCTCCCCATGCTCCAGGAACATGAACACTTACTCTCAAGCAATAATTTTTCTTTAATTATTTCTTTCGTAAGGTTAGGTGGCTTGGCTGATTTGCGATGCCCATACCTAACCTAATGAAGACTGGTGTTGCTCCTCTTACTCAGTTTAACTTGAAAACTCACCTTCTGCAAATTACCTACCGGGAGCAGATGTTAACCAAAGGGCAGATAAGATAAAGGAAATTAAGATTATTAATATCAGCACAGCTGAAGGATTGGGGAATCTTACAGGACAAAATACTGACAAATCCCCATTATCTAATGGCCTGCCTAAGGTTTAAAAAGAGGTAGCTGCAGAGATATTGCCTGCACTGGTTATGATTTTCGTAAGTTTCTCATTTCTATAACAGTCCCAACAGATTGGGAGACAGCAAACATAACATGCTGTAATTAAATTCTTTCGCTATATCCATTTCATTTGTATTGATAGGCCTGCTTTTTTGGTGAAATGTAACATTTGGAGCACACTCAGTTCCAAGAGCTTTTATAGAATTAAGTAATGCAGCATGGAAACAGGCCCTTCAGCCCAAACTGATCCATGCTGACCATGTTAGGTGGCAACATTTAATTCTGCCCAGTGATAGCGATGGTGTTTAGTGCAAGGTCACTCAAGACGTTTTGAGTTCACTGAACAAGACATGTCACTGAAGGCCAGTCAGTATGGCAAGGAGAGAGATGTCATATCAATTTCGGATTAAAGCAAGCCGCAACTGGTGGGAAGGCAGCTAAACCTCAGATTTTGTGCCGGGGATTTAATGAGGAGTCACAAGCAGTTGGATGGCTCTGTGCTTTAGCATGAACTCAGGAAGGTCTATGAATTTTCAGGCAGCCTAAGAGTGTCAGTACTCAGAAGAAGTCCTGGACAGCTGAGAAAGTGCGAAGCTTAATGGCTTTGTGTTGGGAGAATTTGCGAGGAGCTTGGAAGAAACTTCTGAACATTAATACTTCAGTACAGCTGACAGACTACAGGATAAAAAGCTCAGAATCAGGTGTTACTGAGCAAGCTTGGAGTGCAAGGAGGAGGCTCAGGGTCGTGGGGGGGGTATGGTTTGGTAAGAAAAGCTGGACTTCTGTTTGTGAAGAAATACTGGGGTGCAATTTTTGGAGTCCTAGGGAGTACTGACCCAGAAAAGAACGGTGATCAAGCAGAGAGGGAGTTTCAAGGCCATATAGTGGAGAATTATAATCCCTTATGAATTTTAGTGAAATTTGGTGGCCAACTATAACATATAAAGGAAGTTGATTAAAATCCGTGGGATCTGTTTTGATTGCATTTGTTATTTAATGTTACTATGGGGTGTTCAATCACAGTATGATCCCAATGTTTACTTCATGTCAATTCTAGGTATTAGAAATAAATTGCACACTTATTGTAGATTGAGTCATAGAGTCATAGACCTGTACAGCATGGAAACAGACCCTTCAGTCCAATTTGTCCATGCTGACCAGATATCCAAGATTGTGTCACTATTCTAACTTGGATACAAAGTAATGTCATTTGTTTAAAACTGAGATCTTGTAGCTATATTCTCTTAATAAATCCATTGGATTTGCTATTAGTCTACTTAAAAAATAGAAGCTACTGGTCCCTAAGTAGGTCATAAGATAATTTGGCGATCTCATCTGCGGTCATAACTTAAAGTTGGAAGTCTGCTTTGGATTAATAACATAATTTTGTGATCTGATCTGAAATGTAGCAACCTATTTAAAAGCTTTGGGGAAGAAATGTCTTTACAGAAATAACTCCATGGAATGCCATGACGGTATCCCGTCACCAAGTCACCCTTTGCTTACATAATGGAGTGTCCTTGACACTAATCCAGCTCCCTCAGGGCCGGCTCTCAGAGTGAACAGATTGTCTGACACTTCAGTTTGTATCTGTCAGCCAGGGCTCCCTAATTGGACCAGATTAACAGCCCCAATCAGGGAACTCATATTGTATGAGGTTCACCTGGCTGACATAGAACATAGAACAGTACAACACAGTACAGGCCCTTCAGCCCACTGTGTTGTGCCAACCTATTATCCTACTCTAAGATGAAATTAATCTTGTTACAATCACCACATTTACCTTTCTATTCCTCTGGGAATAAACTCTGGTGCTTGGCATTATTTTTAGTGGCCTTGTTATCTTGCATCAGTTCTTTTAATGATTTATTTGTGCATCTTTTGCTCTCTATCCCAATTAGATACTTATTTCTAAATATCAAGCAACTTCCTTTTATTTTCACTCATGCTTCTCTATTAAATCTATTTGCCAATTGTTTCCTATTCTGCAAGTTTATTGATATCAGTCCACCCTCAATAGTAACCATCCTACTCCACCCAAGTTGGTATCATCTACAAACTTAGTAATGGTGCTTTTAATATTGTGTTTATGGTTTACTAGAACCAGAAATAAAACACAAGGCAGAAGGAGGGTAAACTTTAAGAGGAAATACTTTATTGTGCATTCTCTCAGCTTCACAGTCGATCTTAGACTACCCCACTAACTCCCACCTCTGGGTCACCTGATATACTCTTTTAAAGGAGCAACACACACCCAACTATATATATAACCCTTTTGACTTTTTTGTGCTTTTAAACCAAAAATGTAAAGTGGATCCAGAAAGTGATCATTGAACAGTACTTTCCACCAATTGATATTCTAAACAACTGCATTTTGCCCTCACTTTCTGTTTTCAATCTTTCAGTTGAGTAGCTGACCATTCTTCTATTTATCCTCTGACTCTGCATTGTCTGATCTTAGTTATTAGTCTGTAATTTAGCATCTTATCAAGCAGCTTTTGAAAATCAAGATAAATTACATCTACTGCATTATCTTTGTCTACCAACTCAGATGTCTCTTAAACAAAATTAACCAGTGGTCAAGAAAAATTTTCCATTTGAAATCTACACTCATGACTCTTTGTTAACTTTTATATGCTTCTGGTTCTTGTATTCTCTTTTATAATTGAGGCTCCATTGTTTTTCCACCAATGCTAAGCTGACTGGTCTGTAATTCCTTAGATATTTCCTACTTACTTTGTCAAGTATAGAGGTAAACTATCTCCTAGTCTTCTGGCACTACAGCTTCTTCAAACCGATTATTACAAATGTGTAGTGATGCCTTTATCATGTCTTCCACAGATACTTTTAAAATGAGCGGATGCAATCCATGGGACTGAGGGTTTTCACCTCTTTAAATTTGATTAGCTTATTTAATATTGCACTTTTTTAATGAAATCAGTTATTTCATTTTAAATCTCTTCAGCCAATATTATGTCCACCTGTCCTCTTTGCTTGAAGCAAAGTAATTATTTAATGATTCTGCCATTTCTCTGTCCTTGCCCCTGTGATTATCCAGTCCATCATTAAGTGCTCCTATTGCCATCGTGACGAGGTGTTTTATTATTTATGTGCCTGTAAAATATTTTACTTTTTTTCAATCATCCCAATAATAAACCAAAATAAAATTCTGTAAGATTGTAAGATTCTGATGTTTAGTGGATTGAAACCATCTAATAATTGCATTTATTATTGTGTATAATTACTGAATAAATCAAATATTTTGAAGAATTAAATCATGGTTTGGATATCTTTTTGGAAAGGTCTTGCAACTGTTATTAGAATAATACATCTCAATTCCATTCTCTGAGGTATTTTCCTTAGTCAAGGATCATTGAACAGACAATACAAGTTTTTTAACTGTATTTCCATAACAGGAATGGAGTCCAAAGTTGGCAGGGAGCAAAATATGGAGAAGTTTCTACTAAACAGGGCAAAATTGCCCAAAAATTTCTTTTATAGTTTTGTTATGAAATGTTTCAATAAGCTGCTGCTCCTTGTAGTTCAGATATGGCTGGAAAGCAAATAAGCTTTCCCTTCCACCAGGACAATCAATAGTCTTCCCGCATTGTGCTAGCAAAAGCCATCATCTGTCCTCTCATGCTACCTGCGAACTGAAAGACTTCAATAAGGGACATGGGGAAAAGAGTGGTCATTCAATGGAGTGTTGAGGGTCAGGTGGTTGAGACCACTGCAAGCCAACAGGAGGAATTTTCTAACCCCATTTAGCATTGTCTCTAAGGTTATTCTAACCAAAACTGAATAGTGCAACAGAGGAAAATTCCATCTGATGGGTTGCAGTTCTAATATATCACGGGTTCTAATATAAAAAGTAGATTTATAGTCCTATGCAAAGGCTCAAAATATCACTGCTCCTGTGTGAATTCAGTTCCTTTTATGTGTAACCGTTGAAGTCAATACTGACATGAGTTGAAAGGCAGTTTGATATGAAGCCATGAAACTCTGACTTGAATTAAAAGTAGATTGTCTTTGTGCCATTCTGATTCACAGAGCCTTCTTTCACTCTTTCTTTCTGTATTATTTATCTTTTTGACTGGTACAGGTGGACAGTGCTTCAGGGGAGAGTAGGACATTTGGAAGAGTCTTTCCGGATCTCTTTGGAATATAAAAGAAATAACAGAAGAATCTGGGAGTTGGCAGCTGTGGACTCAATAATTCTGAAAAACTGCAATGAAGGTAAATGTTCAGGCTTGAAAAGAGTCAGGGTGCTGCAGCTCTGAGTTATTTTTTTAATGCTGCCTGCAACAAACTAAATATTTAAAACTTCCTTCAAAAAATGTTAACGTAAATATTTCTTTTCTTCTTGTTGCTAGTAAGCTTTCTTTTTGATCAATTATCTTTGTTCACTGAGTAAAGTTTGACATTTGAGATTACTGATGGAAATGAGGGAGAAAGAAGTAATTATTAACACATTTTCCACTCAGACATTGTTCTCTTCAATGTAATTTACCAGTGTTTCAATTATATCATTACATTTACATTGTCAATTCCTTTACTATAGCCCCATGATATTTGAGCTTATTCATCAATAATACAATATCATTCCAATTACTTAATGTATTCTTTTTCAGACCTCACTAATACTTAAATATACTTACGTTATACCTTATTACTGCTCCAATAAGCATCACTAAACTGACAATGTAATTTAACAAGCCTCATATTATTATCATGTATTTTCCAAATGCTTCTACATACTTGCCTAATACTATCATACAATATATTAATGTTTAGTTATTAATGCTTGACTGTATCTCATTAATGCTTCAACATGTTCAGAAATCTTTCATCTTTAAATAATACTCAAGATGCTTCACTCATGCTTCAAATTGCTTTATTGGTACCTATCACTCATCACTAATCCTTCAGCATATTTAAGAATGGTTAACCAATGCTAAATTTAAATCATTTATCTTAAGAGGATTATGAGGTTATCTTCTGAGAGAAAGTTGAACAGGTCGGGCCTATATCCATTGGTGATTAGAAGCATGAGAGGTGATCTTATTAAAGCATATAAGGTCTTGAGGGGTTTTGACAGGATGCATAAGAATGAAGAGACACAGTTTTAAAATGAGGCATCTCCCATTTAAGATGGAGATAAAGAGAAATTATTTCTCTCTGAGGGTCATTAATTTTATTTTATTCATTTTTTGCAGGATGTGGGCATCGCTGGCTGGCCAGCATTTCTTGCCCATCCCTAGTTGCCCTTGAGAAGGTGGTGGTGAACTGCTGCAGTCTACCTGCTGTGGGTTGACCCACAATGCCATTAGGGAGGGAATTCCAGGATTTTGACCCAGTGACAGTGAAGGAACAGCAATATATTTCCAAGTCAGGATGATGAGTGACTTGGAGGGGAACTTGAAGGTGGTGTTCCCATGTATCTGCTGCCCTTGTCTTTCTAGATGGAAATGGTCATGGGTTTGGAAGGTGCTGCCTGAGGATCTTTGGTGAATTTCTACAGTGCATCTTGTAGATAGTACACACTGCTGTTACTGGGCGTCGGTGGTGGAGGGAGCAGATGCTTGTGGACACAGTGCCAAGCAAGCGGGCTGCTACGTTCTGGATGGTGTCAGGCTTCTTGAGTGTTGTTGGAGCTGCACTCATCCAGGCAAGTGGGGAGTATTCCATCACATTCCTGACTTGTGTCTTGTAGATGATGGACAGGCTTTGGGGAGAGAGGAGATAAGTTACTCACTGCATTATTCCTAGCCTCTGACCTGCTCTTGTGGCCACTGCATTTATGTGGTAAATCCAGTTGAGTTTCTGATCAATGATAACTCCCAAGGTGTTGAGAGTGGGGGAGTTCAGTGATGGCAACCCCATTGAATGTCAAGGAGCAGTGGTTAGATTGTATCTTGTTGGTGATGGTCATAGCCTGGCATTTGTGTGGCACGTACATGGTATATGTGGAATTCTCTATCTCTGACAGCAGTAGAGATAGAATTGTTGCATATTTTCAAGGCTGATGTAGATAGATTCTTGATTAGCAAGGAAGACAAAAGTTTTAAGTATAGACAGGAAAGTAGAGTTAAGGATAACCCCATCCTATCAAATAACAGTTCTGGCTTGAGGAAATAAATGGCCTGTTCCTGTTCCGAATTCAAATACTTAATTAAAATAAATAATTCACTGACACAACAACGCCCATTAATAATACATATTATTTCATCAGATTTCTCCTAGTACTGTCATAGAGTCATAGAGCACAGAAACAGGCCCTTTGGCCCAACTTATCAATGCCGACCAGCTTTTCTAAATGGAACTAGTCTCAATTGCCTTCATTTGGCCCAAATCCCTCTGAACCCTTCCTATCCATGTACCTGCCCAAATGTCTTTTAAATGTTGTAATTGTACTAGCCTCTACCATGTCCCTTGGCAGCTTGTTCCATACATGCACCATCCTCTGTGAAAAAGTTCCTCCTCAAGTCCGTTATAAATCTTTCTCATCTCACCTTAGACCTATGCCCTCTAGCTTTGGATTCCCTAACCCTAGGGAAAAGTCTTGGGCAAATCATCTTATCTATGTCCGTCATGATTTTATAAGCCTCTATAAGGCCACCCCTGAGCCCACTACAGTCCAGGGAAAAAAAGTCCCAAACTATCCAACCACTCCTTATAACTAAAACTTCCAGTCTTGGTAACATCCGTGTAAAACATTCTTGCATCCTTTCCAGTGAAATAACATCCTTCTATAGCATAATTGCATGCAGTCCTCCAAATGTCACCTTACCAATGTCTTGTACAGCTGCAACACGATGTCCCAACTTCTGTATTCAATGCTCTGACAAAGGCAAGCGTGACAAACGTTTTCTTCATTAACCTATGACACCACTTTCAAGGAACTATGTACATGACCCCTAGGTCTCTCTGTTCAACAACTCTCCCCAAGACCCTACCATTAACTGTGACATGCTTTAGCAATATTCATTGCTAATGTTTCAACATATCCTAATGCCGGTGGACTTAAACAATCGTGCAGCATATTCCATCAATACAAGATGTTTCACTAATGTTTTAGCATACTTTATTAGTACGATATACTTACTTCATTAATACTAGGACATTGTATTTAACTATATTCATGAATTCTTTATCAATTCTATGATATAATTCTTTTATACCAACGTAGTTTGCTGATATAACATCATTGACATCAAGTACAAATGTTTCATTCCAGTAGTCTTCCTCACCCAGTCAATGTGTTATGTTTGCTAATTGAAATCAGCACTTACAACAGCCAAAGGCATTTTCTGTCAAGGTCATCTGGACTGCCCTGAATTTTCCTGGCACGACTACACAGCGTCTTTGTGTATCCGCAGTATTTGGCTATGAATCTTTGGTGCTCAATACAGATGGCAAATACTTCTACACATGCAAAAACATTGGATGGAATATGTGGCTCCCAACACTAATCACAGATACAAGGGGTTCTGCTATAACGCATGTTCCAGCGACACAAATTGGCTATAATGCGACTGACAAATAGGGGATTGGTATTTCCACAACGTGAACTTTGTGTTGGCTACAACGCAATTCCATCGAGTTCACTGGACTTGCTCTTTAAGAAAGGAATCAAAATAGTACCACTTCACTGTTCTTTCCCCATCAACTTACTTCTTGGTTTTCAAGAACTTATTCAATTTGTTTCTCAAGGTTGTTATTGAATGTTTCTCTTTGATCCACAATACTCATGCTGAAGCCTAACCATTGATTCATAAAGTTTTAGCACAGCTTCCTCATTGTTGTGCTATTTATGTTCACAGTCTAACACACCTGCCTTTCTCACCAAAACCTCACTGTCACAAGTTTACAATTTGCAGTTATTTTCAGCAGCTGCTTATCTGTCTCTGTTTATCTTTGACATTAAATACAAATCTTAATCCCTCCCTTTGCCCTCAGATGAAATAACTATGGAGCACTCAAAAGCTGATGAGATCTGCATGCAAGGTTTCATGGCTGCCATCAAAGCTAGCCTAAGGGACTTGTACAAAAATAGTCAAAGTACCTATTCTTGAAATATCAGTTCCCTCCTCAGGAACCTGTTACTGTACAACAGTGAGGAGAAGTTTGCGATTGGCTGTGGAGCAGATAGCTTACCAACATTCACTGTCACGTTCTAAATGGAGAACAGCCACTTGAGCAATACTGGGAAGGGACAGTGGTTCCTGTAGAACAGGCTAGTACAATAGGTGGGCCATGGGCAGAACTGTGAATATTCACTTCCCAGCCATGGTCATCCTGCAGCCACATCTCCACAATGACAGTTAGATCATATCTATTCACTTCAGTTAATGCTGTCATTTCATCTGCCTTGTTGCAAATGCAGGGAGAGTCTCAGTGATAGTGGGGGTTAAAGGGATGGCTGGAGGTTACAGAGATAGGGAGGTTTATACCAGCTGTGGAAAGTTATGAGGATAGTGGGGATTGAAGGGACAGGTAGAGTTAGACTTAGGGAGGCTGACAGGTGCTCGAGAATGTTACAGAGTTACAGAGAGTTGCAGGTGCTCAAGAATGTTAAAGGGCTTTAGGGATTGTAGGTACTGTAGTTACAGAGGTATAGGGGACTGGATTAGATTCCAGAGTTAGCGATGGATGCAGGGAGCAAGAGACACATGTCTATGGAAGGAGCGAGGGACACACACAAATACACGGAGTTTGAGTGTTTGAATGTTGAGTGATTTTTGTTTTGGTGATCTGCCCTGCTTTTCCCATCGGTCCCGTTATTTCTGTAGCACAATTTTTGAGAACACGATGTTGTGCTGGAACACAACTATCACGTTATAGCAGAACCCCCTGTAGTTAAGGAAATAAAAGAATCTTGGGTTTTTTTTTCCCTTTTGAATTTGAGACCCTGTTCCTGATTATAAGAAATTAGATTCTTTGTCTTTAAACATTAACGTTTGTGTCATTAGCCCAAGCTATTGTTAAGGTGGGACACAACATTCCTGAACAGGTCTGGATAGCTTTCCTGCTCCTCTGATGCTGCTTGGCCTGCTGTGTTCATCCAGCTCTACACCTTGTTATCTCTGGATAGCTTGATGCTCAATTAGAAGTTGGAACTGCACAGACTGGAGTTGCACATCAGGATTGTGTGAGAATTTTAGTTTTAATTTTAATTTTAATTGAGTGAGGGAATTGCCTGTCAAATTGAAGATTCTGATGTGCAATTCCCCTGT